TTTGAAAGGAGATTTGGTAAATCATAACCGCAGCACATTAAGGGGTTTGTGTGTGTATTTCTAAGCTCTGTGGCACACTGTGCCCTCTTAAAGCACAGAAGACTGAATAGGGTGGTGACACGCAGCTATATTACTTCTGAAACGTCATATAAACGATCCACTGAAGCTTTTTAATACATAATCATGCAGTTTTCCATTTTGGTAAAAAAAAATCTGACCCTTATTTCAACGTCTGAAAAGCTAGAAGCAAAAGTAGGGAGAGTATGAAGAGAAGTGTGTTTCTTCCTTTCAGAGGGAAATCCAGCTGTGTTGGCCCTTCCCAGCAGAATAACGCAGTTGGGAAAGATGACATTTGCTCCAGTTATGGAAAATTATTTTGGCAATAATGGTGTTTCTATATTTTTTCCTTCTAAGCACCTCAATAACTTAAACGTTTTTATAAACCAGTTTTGCCCTTTTTTCTCTCTTAAAGCAGTTTCGTTATCTTGGGATTGTTAAGTTTAGAATATATTTCTGCTAGGCAACATACAACCAAGATGTAAATGTGTTTATGATTGGAAAATAGCTCTAAGAAAAAAACAGAACCACATTTGGGGCCTCCTAGTGTCTGTGATACCCACGTAAAATGGTTAACAGAATTCCGGAGCCTGCTTAAAACCCACTAGGTTTAAAGACCCTCCCTGAAGGTTGGCAAACTCAATGGGCTGCCAGTGTCTTCGAAAACCTGTTTTAGCGCGCCACCTACTGGTCGGACTTAAGATTGCTGCCAGTGTTGTGTAACAGATTTTTTTTTTTGCAGAATTTGTAGTTTTTAAGCATTCTTTAAAAATGATGGGAACATCCCCAGAGTACTGAGTTGCTGGTGGGGAACTAAAGCCACTAAGTTAAGAGACTTCAGTTCTTCTTGTGTTCTGGCTGCTTCTCAGTTCTATGCAAGGCACGTTGGTGACTTTGCAGTCACTCTTCTCTGACGCAAAGATAGTTGGTACTAGTGGCAAAGTGGTCAACCCCAGAGGTAAGCACAGTGGGTACAGGTATATACATGCTTTTCGAAAACAAAACAAACTCTGATGTGTGTTCATACGTTTGATTCTCTTCCTAAGTTTGGTTCCTTTCTAGCTTTGCCTCCCCTCTCGTGTTTTAATGGAAAGGTTTAATTGTAGAATTCACTAAAAGTTGGCCCACTGGTGTATATAAAGCTGTCACATTCCCAGGAAGCCCTTGTATACAGATTAGGGAACATCGTTTTCTCTTCATGCCCTTTATCTTGTCCCCTCTCCTGTGATGAGCACTAAAAGCATAACCCGTCATTTTGCAAGCTACCAAGTAGGGAACAAGGTGCTGTTAGATGTGATTTTGTTCCTAGTGATATTTGAACTTTGCACAGAATTTTTCGTCGTTGTTGTTTTTTAGTCCAGTGATGCATTATTTTAGTTAGAAGTTTCACAATGAGGTATTCTAATCCTCCCATTCCTTCTTCATCTATTAGCTGAAATACTTCTATAATGAGAAATATTCCCTTTGTCACTCCTGTGTTTCTCTAAGGCACCGTCTGAACGAATGGGAACACCCACTGACAGCTCTTTTAAAATAACGGAGTCAGGTTTGGTCAAACAGATGCTTTATATTAGTAGACTTTTCTCTCTCAGGATTGCAAGTCTTGCAGCGCACTGGTTTCCTTAAATTTAGATAAAACATAAAAGTTGAAAGAATGAAAATAACTTAAGTAACGTCTTACAATGATACAAGAACCAGCAGGCTAATGTGTCACACCTTTCTAAATAAATGGACTCGGTGGTCATTAGGAAAATGGATTTAAGGCTTTCTGGGCTGAATGGTGGCGTCAGCATGTGGACCAAAACGAACTCCAGAGCCCATCCCTCACTTCCACTGGGCGGTGCTCACTGGGAGTAAAGGGCAGAGGTGAGGTGAGGAGAGGCCAGGGAGCTCGTCCCGGGCACAGTGGAAAAACCCGGTGCTTAATGAGATCTCACGGCGGACATTGGCAGCTGTGAAATCTTACAGTGACTTTGATCTGGGGGTGTTTTTTTAGGGTGTGTGTGTGTCGGGGGGCGGGGGGTGGTGACCTCTAATAAAGCACAGAGGACTGAATAGAGTGGTGACAGGCAACTCTATGACTTCTGAGACCTCATGTTAGCAAAGAGGCAAATAAATGTCTGATAGTGTTCCAGAAGTTGGAACCAACACATTTTTTAAAATATATTTTATTGATTTTTTTTACAGAGAGGAAGGGAGAGGAATAGAGAGCCAGAAACATCAATGAGAGAGACATCGATCAGCTGCCTCCTGCACACCCCCCTCTGGGGATGTGCCCGCAATCAAGGTACATGCCCTTGACCAGAATCGAACCTGGGACCCCTGAGTCCACAGAACAGTGCTCTATCCATTGAACCAAACCAGCTAGGGCGAAACCAACAAATTTAGTGCTCTTTGTACAGGAGATATATATATATCTCCAAAATTGAGTGCATACCTGTTGATACAAACCATTTAGAGCTTGCTTTGTTTTGTTTTAATTCTAATCTTCTTTTCCTAAAACATTGTGGGAATCTATTTTAGGAAGTAGATTGAAGAGATGCCCATTTACATGTGAAAAGAGTTGCCCCCGGTGAGGGCTAGGATACAATTCATGAGTCTCCTGACCTGGGCTCTTTCCTTAGACACCTGAGAATAGGGGGGTCTTATCTAGAAGGATTTGCATCAAGATACTGTCAGAGGAGTGGGTGCATCATAAGGATTAATCCCATTTAAAAGGCTTGGGGGAGGGGTGGCCAGCCATAGGTCAGGGCTGCTGAATTATCTGACCTCATTGATACAAGCACATATCACATCTTTTGTTTAAGGTCCAGTATAGGACAGCAATTTTTTAGAAACATCTATCGGTACAGCTGCTACGCTGGGAACTGGTGAATAATAGATATCTCAAAGCACAAAAGGGGTTTTCATCCTTCATCATGAAATCGTCCATTTTCCGCTGGTTGTTGGGGTTTGTTCTGGCTGGAAGGCATGAGGGTGGCAGCGCCATTGATTTGAGCGCCCTGGTATCGGATCGTGTTCACGGATCACAATGCATCCTGTGATGTAGGAGAATGGGATTTGGAGTCAGGGCCTTAGGTTGAGTTAAGAATGATATTCATGTGTTGTCCCGAGACCCAGGAGAGGCTTTCTTCAAGGAAGCAGCGAAACACAAGAACAACACAGTATTGTTTTTATGATTGTATGGGGGGATTTCTTAGTATCAACCTTCGGGCACGGGCACAGCAAACCACAGATTACTGTCAGGAGGCGGGGTGGGGTGGGGTAGGGATAGGTAGTTTTAGTGCTAAAACATAGGAAGTAATCGAGAACCAGGGACTGTACAGCTCTTTCAGGTAGAACTCAATCTAGAAGAATCTTGTTCACTTTTCCACCCAAACCAAAGTGATCTATGAAGACTTTGCCTCTAAGGTAAACCGAGCTTGGATAGTACGTGCCTGAAGAGCTCGCCGAGGATCTGAGTCGCAGCGGGGCTGTGATTCCATCACCTGAGAAGTGCAGCTGGGGACTGAGCAGGCCGAATGTTTGGTCCTGCGAGGGAGCAGTTGGCTTTATGTGGACACGTGCTAACAAGCGGACTAGTATAGAACAAAGAAGAAAATACACGGGTAACGAGCAGAAGGTTAGAAGCAGGGGAGAGAAGGACTGAACAAGGACAAGATGCATCTGGCTGAAGAGTGTCTGATTTTCTAGTGAGAAATTTGCAAAAGAACGGGAGTGAATACAAGCTAATATCCTTCACATATAAAAAGTGCTTAGAAAACAGTCACCGTTGGGGGATAAGGGAAGCTGAGAACTCAAGACCTGAATAGGCATTTCTCAAAAGAAGAAATGTAAATGATAAATGTTAATTCAGTAATTAAATCAATTTGGAGTAAACCTAATTGGCCATTTTGATACTAGCAAATTGGCGGAGTTTGTTTTGCTTTGTTTTAAGTGATAATACACGTGGCTGGTAGAAATGTTGGGATTGGGAAGCAGGTTCTGTTTTATTGATGGAAATAACACGGTTTCTTTGCTGGATGATAGATACATCATATGCTTTGGAAAATGTCCATGCTTGTCACCCAAGACTAAAACTTAGTTTAAAAATTAAGGAATTGCAACCTAGGTGCCCAGTAAAAAGGAACAATTTACAGAAATGGATGTGGCATGCTGAATTTGATGGCATGGAACCATGCTTACCGAAAAGAAATATTTTCCTAATAAATTGTCAAGTGAAATTATGGTTACTAAATTCTATGCATACTATAATCCCATGTAAAAAAAATCTGTAAGGAACCCTACCCGGTTTTACTCAGTGGATAGAGCATCGGCCTGTGAACTGAAGGGTCCCAGATTCGATTCCAGTCCGGGGCGCGTACCCATTTGTGGGCTTGATCCCCAGTGGGGGACTTGCAGTAGGCAGCCAATCCATGATTCTCTCTCATCATGGATGTTTCTATCTCTCTCCTCTCCCTCTTCCTTCCTCTCTGAAATCAATAAAAATATACTTTTAAAAAATGTAAGGATAAAAACAAAGATATTAATGATGTTTGGTTCTAGGTTTTCTTTTTGCTTGTCTTTCTGCACCCCCACCCCCATCCCAGATTTTTCTGTAAGGAAAGTGACACTCGTACATAATGTGAACTTCTGTTGAGTTTGCACTACAGTCTTAAGAAAGATTTACTTCTTGGAAGGGGCTTTACTATTGTTCCAGAAACGTCCGGGTTTATGGATTTGAGTTAGGAATGCCAGTTGGCTCTCATCAAGACCATGGAGTCTGGTTTTAATTATACAAAATGGCATCTTTCATAGGTAAGGGAAACAACTGCCAGCCATTCTGGGGGCCGGGGAGAGGAGGGAGCAGAGAAGGGGAGTGAGGAATATTATGTTTTGTTTTTACTAGTTTTTATTTAAAGTAACCTTGGGGTTGAGATGGACACTTTGTTTTTGTTTTCTAGGCCAAACACCAGAGCACCCTAGAAAGCTTCACTAAAAGAATGCTCATGTTTGACCCAGTTCCTGTCAAGCAAGAGGCCATGGACCCTGTCTCGGTGGTAAGTTTTCCAAAATTGAACATTTCCTTATTTTATTCCGAGTGGTACTGCTATGGTCATGTGTTACGTTATTCCTTAAAGTTACTCATTACCCAACAGGCCTTTGACGGGTAAATTTTTCAAAGGCCCCGGTAGTCAGTGAGGTTAATACCTTACTAGCAACTGTGCACCCTTTAATAAATGGGATCTATGCTCCCTTCAGGCCTGTGCCCCACATTCCTCAGTCTACCCTCAACACGGAACTTGGGCCACAGGAAAATCTTCCCACCACAGAAGCAGGTTTACAAACACTCCGCAGCTTCCAGATTTTTTAGTCAGAGCTCTCAGGATTATTGATCTTAGCATAAAGTAAAATAACAATTAAAAAAAAAAAAAAAAGACAAGTTTGGCTAGACTGATTTTTTTTTTTAACATAAATGTGTTCCCAGGGACATTTATATATATATATATATATATATATATATATATGTTTTATTGATTTTTTACAGAGAGGAAGGGAGAGGAATAGAGAGCTAGAAACATTGATGTGAGAGAAACATCGACCACCTGCCTCCTGCACACCCCCCACTGGGGATGTGCCCACGACCAAGGTACATGCCCTTGACCGGAATCAAACCTGGGACCCCTCAGTCCGCAGGCTGACGCTCTATCCACGGAGCCAAACCGGCTTCGGCTCCCAGGGACATTTTAAAGTTAATTATGTATTTTTTAAATTTTTTGAATGTGTATTTTTGGTTTTAATAGAGAAAAAAAAATGAACAAAAGCACAACGATGAAGCCCAGAGGATGGGAATTGGGGAGTCGCAGGGCATCCTGCTCCCCTAGCTCCTTGCTGGCCAGGGGCTGTGCTCCCTGCCGCAGCAGCCTTGGCCGGCTAGGCCCCCTGGATGGCATGGCCATGGCGCTCACAGTCAGGCCTCTTCCCTCTCACCTGCCTGGGCCTCCCCTAGGGAGCGCCCCAGCCCCGTGGCAAACCTCTGCATAGACTCCAGTGTGTGCTCTGGATCTCGGTGGCGTTCTCTAGCGTGGCCAGAGCTGACATTCAGCTTTTGCTGTAAGGCTGTCTCGTCCAAGGGCTGTAGCTCCACGCTGCACAGAGCTGAGACGCAGGCCTAAGAGGCATCACAGCTGGTGGTCAAGTCGTGGCACCTCCCTCCAGGGCCAGCTGCTCAGCCCGGCTCCCGACGTAGGCACATTAATTTTCAAAACTTGTGGGCAGTGTTTATCATGGTAAGGACGCAGTATCCGAATGTCCCTATAAAAATCTGTATTAAGAATATGATACAGGCCGAAACTGGTTTGGCTCAGTGGATAGAGCGTCAGTCTGCGGACTGAAAGGTCCCAGGTTTGATTCCGGTCAAGGGCATGTACATTGGTTGCGGGCACATCCCTAGTGGGGGGTGTGCAGGAGGCAGCTGGTTGATGATTCTCTCTCATCGACGTTTCTAGCTCTCTATCCCTCTCCCTCCCTCTCTGGAAAATCAATAAAATATATTTTTTTTAAAAAAAGAATATGATACAGGTGACTTAGAGGTGTTTTGTTTGTTTGTTTTTTACTCAAGATCACCACGCTTATTATATAGAAGAGTTTCTCAAACGTGTTGGAGGTTTTACGTTTTTTAATAGTGGAAGTAAAAGATATTCCATTAGGTCTCATAGTATTTAGGGTGTGTTTCATAGAGCTGATTTAAAAGACGAAAACAAAATAAAATAACAACTGCTCGGTTAAGAATAAAATGCTTTGCTTAATGGAGCTATGGCCGTGTGAGAGATGGCCGGAGGGAAGCTAATGAAAGAATGAACTTGGCAGCGAGGAGGAATTTTATTTCACTTGGAAGAGTCTGGGTGGGTGGGAAGTATGTTCCTTGTCTTTTTCCGACACCTAGCCGGACCCCTCTATCTGCTGCTTTTGGGCCACCAGGAGGCTAGTCGTTAGTCCAAGTGTCGATGGGACCTGGGTGACCACACGGTGTGTCCCACTGCAGAGCAGGGAGAGGCATAGACTTGAGGAAATCTGGTTTTAACAAATACGAAGTAACAAGGCCATACTCTCATTCTTGCTCTTTTCTTCCTCGGGCTTGACAAACGTTCACATGGGGAAAAACTTGGCCCAAGTTGCATACGAGAAGGTTGGTAATGACACGCTTGCAAAATTAGATCATCCTTATGCATTGGCCGTGGAGGCTCCTGCCAAAAACGTTTATACAACACACAGGGGTCAGTCAGAGGCCCTTGGAACTGAGCTGCCACGGCTGTTCCTAAGCCAGTGAAGGGTTTATCACTGGGTGCAGTGAAAAGTGGCTTTAAGGAAATAACATTTACATTCCAGCATAATAACTGGATAACTGAGTGTCTGAATATGATCACTGGGCAATAAGAATTTTATTAATCAAAACAGTGAACTGACTTCTGATGTTATTCAGTGCTGTCAACGCATTCCTCGACCATTCCCCATCATGTTGGAGGAAAATTAAGGTGTAAAATCTCTCCATTAATTATACCCTTGAACTATGAATAGGCTTTTAGTACCAGAGAGTATGATTAGTTTTCTAAACGATGCACAACCATCAGTGTGTACTTCCTGTGCTTTTAATCAAGCATGGAAATAGGAGCGCTCCAGAGCCTAATTTAAAGCTAAGAATGAAGATGCGCTTTGCTAAGTTAGTTATGATATAATTAAATGCAAGAAAATGCACTTAACTGAAAACAGGAAATAAAGTGCACTTGAATATTAATACATGAACTTAGAATATATAGAAGTATTTTTGCAATGAATGGTCTTTTTCTCCTTCATGCTCGAGTTTGCAACTTTACAGAAATTAGTTTGTTTCACCAACAGTTAGTGTCTGTGCTTACAGTGAAGTTTCTTTTTAATTCAGTGAAATCTCAGTTAACTGAAAAATTCGGAGACTAGGGTGCTGTGATTATTTTCTTGACAAAATTAAATAAGCTTTTGTTTTCATTCTTTTAAAAAATATATATTTTTTATTGATTTCGGAGAGGAAGAGAGAGAGAGAGAGAGAGAGAGGGAGAGAGGGAGAGAGGAAGAAACAATGAAAGAGAATCTTTGGCCAGCTGCCTCTTGCATGCCTCGTACTGGGGCTAAACCTGCAACCTTAAACCCAGGCATGTGCCCTTACAGGGAATCGAATTGTGACCTCCTGTTCATAGGCCGATGCTCAACCACTGAGCCACGCCATCCAGGCCTTTTCACTCTGAAGTCTTCAAATTTCTTCTCTCCTGCCTTCATGGGTGGAGTGCATGAAACTTAATTTTTTTTTTATTCCTTTATTTTTCCCTTCTTAGTTCCATCTTTGATCTGAAGGTTGAAGTCTTTGGTTAGTGAAGCTATGTTTTAAACATTAAGGCAGAATAGAATAATTTGTAAGAGGAATTTTTTTTTTAATTCCACATAGAATAAAAATACCTTATGGTGATTTAATCTTCCCTCCCCACCCCCATTTTTCTTAAAATGAGAGCATAGCAGAAGCAATCTGCCTATTTGTTATTTTTCTATAATTTAGAGAAAGTGAGGCTTATCCCATGTAAGCCTTCATACCATCCTGTGCTTTGAGGCAAATAGTTAGGCTTGATATACTGTCTTATTAGAAATCTCCAGAAGTAAGAGAGGATACTTCACCTGCTCAGTTCTGTACCTGGGTCTGTGCTACTGACTCTCAATGCACAGTTGGCAAAATGGTCAGCAGCTGCTGAGCTCTTTTTTTTTTTTTTTTAATTATTATTTGTAAAATTGGAGATTATAGTTTCTAAACCATGGACACCATGTGAATGAATATAAAATGCACATGTGTGAAGAAATTGTCTTCACACCCATTCATTTCCAAGGAAAGTCAAAGAATTTAACTCAGGAAAAGAGAAAGAAAACAAATTTTAAAAGAGTATTCTTCCTTATTCTATTTCTATAGGAAGGTTCCTTTTGAAGAAAGTACATTTCTTTTTCGCCTTTTTCAAATGAACACTGTTGTCTAACAGACGCCTGGACGCCTGACAGATTGAGAAGCACTTGACAGTTCCTCTGCTCTGTTCCAGCAGGAACTTCTTTCACTTTTCACGGCTCTTCCGCGCCTGGTAGAAAGAGCGCTTTCTGCTCTTGTTTGCACAGAGAGGCATGACATTTGCAGTTTCCAGCGTGTGTGTTTGTACACGCACCACGCCTCGCCGCCCTGGGCGCCCCACCCTGCGTATGGAGATTCCTTTGGCCTGCCATCGCCCTGTCGCGGATGGCCACTTCTTTTTCATACTCAATGAATAGTGAAATGGAGACTTGATCCACGTTAGCCGTCTTGTAATGGAAACCTCACCAGAAGTATTACCCCCCCCCCCAAAAAAAAAATAAGAAACTATTGAAATTCTCACTGGAGTATAAAGGGATGGCTTTGGAGAAGTGTCCAAGCCAAACCTTTTTGAAAAGTAAGCCCAGTACCGCCCCCAGATGGAAGGAGGGGGAGACTCCCATGGGTGAGCCCTGTCTTCAGGCTGCGGGCTGCCGGGCTGCCGGGCCGGGCACACCCAGCCTCCCTGGCTGAGCGTGGGAAGGGGGAGGGGAGGGGAGGATGGCATTGGATGTCCTTCAGTGGCCAGAGGCGCTTTTCTCCACTCGCCTCCGATTTGGATTAGGGGCCCGTGTGGCCACACCTATTTGCATGGCTTGGTTAGAAGACAGGAATGGTCTGGAACAGAAAGGAAGCAACTGTTGACCAGAGTGTGCACACCCGGAGCAAACCCTGCATCCGTCCTTCCACTCGGGGGTTGCTGTAGCTGATCGCAGCAGCTGCGGGCTCCGCCCCGGTCACTCGAAGGCTCTGAGAAACACGGCGAGGACATTTGCTAGTGAGACGGTTTGAGGAACCGCATTTCTTCACCCTCGTGCGAGGGGGTCGGGCTGGGAAGAGTTCGCCGTGTGCTCCGCTGTGTGCCCAGAGGTGTCTCCTTACCGGTAGCCCTGTGGCCTCACCGACACCACCCAGCAGTCGGCGGCGTAGGGCACAGGGGGCATTCGCTGGCGGGCAGACTCTCAGCACAAAATCTGCACCGTGTGTAGAATACTTGGCTTTCGGAATGGCTGTCTCTTTTCCTTTACGGCGAGAGACGCCTGGGAATATTATTAAATTTGCCCAATCTCCCGGGTCCTAAATTCCTTAAAATCACCCTCCGATAGAAAAATGCAGCAATGACAGCAATAAAAGCGTGTCCTCGTTTTGCTTCCTATTGAGCTGCCAATAACTTGGCATTAAAATCTAGGTCATAGGGAGCTCTTGGAAGAATAGGGCTGAAAATAAGGGAGAAGCTACATTTTGGTGAGTAGAGACGACTGACGCTGCCTCTCGTTTGCTGAAGTTTTTGTTTCTAGTATCAGAGCTTTTGCACTTTAGAGAAATATAGAGAGAGCAGATTAAACCTTAGAACCATGGGGAGGTCCCCCCCTCCTCGTGTTTAATTACTTCCTTAAACCCTCATTGTACATAGTCTATGATTTTTTTTTTAAATACATTTTTATTGATTTTTTTTCTTACAGAGAGGAATGGAGAGGGAGAGGGATAGAAAGTTTGAAACAACAGTGAGAGAGAAACATCGACCAGCTGCCTCCTGCACGCCCCCTACTGGGGATGTGCCCGCAACCAAGGTACATGCCCTTGACTGGAATCGAACCTGGGACCTTTCAGTCCGCAGGCCGACGCTCTATCCACTGAGCCAAACTGGTTAGGGCTGTAATTTTTTTGTTTTGTTTTTTAGTGAATCTTGTGCCTCTTTCAGTATTTCAATTCAAATATATATATATAATGTTAATATACCTTGTGGGGTGCCTGGGTCTAAAAAAAGTTAAGTGGATTTTTCTTCATTTGATTCTCTATACGTAACTCAAAGCTGTTTTTTAAAAACAATTTATATATTTTGGATTTTCTAATTTTATTTCCTTCGCGTCCTTGTTTTTAGGCAGATTTATTAATGCCTATTCTTCCCTCCCCTCTTTAAATTGTTTTTAAGGGACATATCAGATTTTAATACTAAGAGTATTTTTATTCTGTATCACTATTAGTAAGAGTTGTGCCATTTGGAAGGTGGTCTGTGCCCCTTCTGCCACCTCCCAGTCAGTGAGAATCTACAGTTTAACAGGATCCCCAGTGCATTTTGAAGCTCTGGGTAGGAGGGTCACAGCCCGCTATCCTGCACTCCTAGTGTAAGAAAAGAGAAGGGATCATAGGGCTGCAGGGTGTTGAAGCTCATACATAGGCTGCCTCCTTGGATCCAGTTTTGATTTTAGCCTCCCAGCCTTCCAGGAGGAGCTTGATGCCATATCTTGATGGCACCTGTACTTCTAATATTTAGTTAGCACTATTTCTTGCCCTCTTTTATAGAATTGCTTTTGTTAACATGGTTTTTTAACAGGGAACATTATATCATTATTGTAAAAAAAAAAAAAAAATAGTTTTTCCATATGCATTTAAATAAGCACCTATTTTAAAGCACTGTATGTTCACTGGGTACCGGGCTCCAGCCATCCCTGTTCTAGACCACACAGATTCTGATGATGTGGATAAAGAAAGGGCAGAAGAACAAAGCACTTAATCCTAAAGATGAGAAACTGACGTCAAAATCAGATGGACGTAAAGACTGCCTAGGACCTTTTTGCCTGATACTCGGTGTTCGGTAGGCCAGCAGAAGAGGCCAGGCACCTGCATTTCAGAAACAGCATGAGTGAGTCTGATGCATAGCCAGGTGGAGAGCCGTCCAGCAAGACCCAGAGAGGAAAGGGGGTGATCTCTGTCATAAGCCCAGTCCAAACCACACAATGACTTACAACTCACAGTAGTGGCCACTGGAGGGTCTGGGGAGGCTCAGAAATGAACAGTGCATTCGGCTATTTAATTACAAGTCTCTGTAGGTGGGTTTTCTCAGCTGTGTCATGAGCTAGTATTGCCTCAGAATCATAACCACATAGGATTTAAGAGCTGGAAGACTGATACACCAAGGTTGTGGGTTCAATCCCCAGTCAGGGCACATACAAGACTCAATCAATGAATGCATAAGTAACTTTTTTTTTTATAGTAGTGATATAATGCTCCCTATTAAAAGTTGTTAACAAAGATAACTCTCTTCCCCGCCTTCCTCTCTTCCTCTAAAACTCAATAAAAACAAACAAACAAACAAAATGTTTTTAGAAGAGCTGGAAGAGAGGCACAGTACATTGCTTATCACTTTCACTGTAAAACATTCAAATACGAGTTCTTTTCTGTAGGACTACACATCTGGTTATTAAAAATCTCCCTAAAATGTGCATGTTTAGAAAATGGCTGGTGTTTAATTTTTTGAAGCATTCTACAACAAAGATTCACTTTTAAATTACAGTTAAGGAATGGAGCAATTGTAGTGAACTCCATGGCCAACCACATGAACCAGAATATGCCATTATTGTGATTTGTTTATATTTGAAGCTGGTAGATGAGTTAGGTTATCCCGATATTAGAAGAGAGAATGGTATTTAAAGGTAAAGTAAGTCAATTGTAGAACAAATCTTAGATTTGAGGGTGAAGGGGAGAACAAACTATTTTGTCTCTCTTTCAATGTTTTCTTAGTTTTTGAGAGTGGGGAGCAAGATGTAGAAAACACTGGGCCTCATTTCGAGCGTCAGGTGGCCAGATTTGAGTCATACCAGCTGTTTCTTACCCACAAACGTATAAATCGACTGATCTTCTACACCTTCATTCAAACTGTGCATAAGCCCATTGAACAAGTTGGGGCCAAGGACATAATTGCCCTAGAGTGGGTGGCCTTCAGTGTAAATAGGTGTGTAGGGTGACTGGCCATCCTGGTTTGCCTGAGACTGAGGCATTTCCTAGGTGATAGGACTTTAACACGAAAGCCAAGATAGTCCCGGGCAAATCAGGGCCATTGGATGTCCCAGGCATGGATTCGCCAGCGGCTCAAGCCCACATGCAGCTCTATTTCTTCATGTTACAGAAAGTATATCATGAGGAATGTCCAGTGCCTTGCTGCTGGGGGAAACACTAAAGCCAGAGAGAGCATTTCCTGCCAGTTAAGAAACTCCATCAAGAAAAACAATGCGGTTACTTGGCCTGGCTGGTTCTTGGTGAACCTCAGCGCTGACTCCTAATGACAAAAGCCCACACGGCTTCTCTTCTATAACCTGTTGTAGAAACTTTGCATCTTAATTTGTGTTGGAAGCAAATGTCCTTATTTGGCTGTTCCCCCATGTTGTTTCTCCTTTCCGCTAGTCCTACCCATCTAATTACATGGAGTCCATCAAGCCCAGCAAGTACGGAGTCATCTACTCCACACCATTATCCGACAAGTTCTTCCAGACCCCGGAAGTCCTGTCGCACGGCATGCAGATGGAGCCGGTGGACCTGACCGTGAACAAGCGGAGCTCGCCGCCCTCGGCCGGGAGCTCGCCTTCCTCGCTGAAGTTCCAGCCCTCGCACCGCAGGGCCTCGCCGGGGCTCAGCATGCCGTCGTCCAGCCCGCCCATGAAGAAGTACTCGCCCCCGCCCCCGGGCGTGCAGCCCTTCAGCATGCCGCTGTCCATGCCGCCGGTGATGGCCGCCGCCCTGTCGCGGCACGGCATCCGGAGCCCGGGGATCCTGCCGGTCATCCAGCCCGTGGTGGTGCAGCCCGTCCCCTTCATGTACACCAGCCACCTCCAGCAGCCGCTCATGGTGTCCTTGTCCGAGGAGATGGAAAACTCCAACAGTAGCATGCAAGGTACATTTCCCAACCTCCTGTGTCTTCTCCAGACAGCCTGGGGAGAGTGAAGGAAGCAGAGCCAAGCTCTTCAAAGGAAGTATCCCGCGTAGAGGCTGCCTACGGCATTTCCGTGTGTGTGGTGTGTGTGTGTGTGTGTGTGTGTGTGTGTGTGTTTTGCCTTAAAGTGTTGATACTGGAAGAGCTCCCAAGAATCGGGTTGTCTGTTTAAAGCTTTGAAATTATTACTTTCACTATGTAATTGTCCACTTTGGGTTGGTGAGAATCTTGACTATATATTTTGCTTCATGGAATGCCAATACGGTTCTAGGTGCAAAGAGACATTTAATAAATACCTTTAGATATTGGTGATTACTCAGGGCTATTAAAAGCACCTTGTTTATTGATTGGTTGTGGGCAGAAGACCGGGATTAAAAGGAGATGGCAAAAATCATTAGGAAGAATCATTTGGGGGGGGGGGGGGGTGATGTCTTAAAAGTCCAGCTTCCCATGTACACTGCCTGCTGGCAAAACAACGGGCCAGAGAAATAAGAATGCCCCTCAGACTCATTGCTGCTATCATTTGCCGAAGGCAGATAACGTCAGTGTTGTAGATGGGACCTGTGGAATAAGCTTTTTTAAAAGCTGAAGTTGGTAAATGGTACACAGAGTGACTTTTTCTATTTTTATTTTTTAGTACCTGTAATTGAATCATATGAGAAGCCTATATTACAGAAAAAAATTAAAATAGAACCTGGGATCGAACCACAGAGGACAGATTATTATCCTGAAGAAATGTCACCCCCTTTAATGAACTCAGTGTCCCCCCCGCAAGCATTGTTGCAAGAGTAAGTATGTTTAGGTCTAGCCGGCGTCTGCGTAGGAGTGTGCATCTCGGGACCTCGAACGGAAGCACAGGCTTCCAAGGTGTGATGTGTGGATTGCCAGGAGCTCCCTGTAGCGTGTGGCAGCCATGGGGCAAGATGAGGGCATCTCTCCAAAAAAATGCTCTGTAACACGGACAGCATTATGGCAATGACTTCGATTTACCGCTGAGTTGGTCACCCATGACTACCTTATTTTTTCACTCTTCCAGACTGCACACATAGTTCTTCCAGAATCTTAATCCCACCGTGGATTGAACTTGGTGTTCTAAATATTCCACAAGCTTGGATCATGAAAACTCCATATGGACCCATGTCGTATTCCTACTTCTAATAGAGTCTCCTGTCTCCATGAGGAGGAATGTCTTGATTTAAAATCTTCAGGCCAACCACAAGCCCAAGAAAGACACTCCAAAACAAGTCTGTAAACAAGTGGTGGCAACAGAAATTGGCCATGTAGCTCAGAGAAGCTAAGCCATGACACAGCTTATTGTCTAGCCTTCTCAATCCTGCCCCAGGATGTTCAGTCTGCTTTGGGGGGGAAAGTTCAGTCTGCCATGGAGGGGGAAAGTTCAGGCTTTCAGCAACCAAACACCTGAATGGTGGTTTGCTTTAGGTCTAACTTGCTGTAATATGACAGTGCCACACAGGTTAAATAACCTCACTAAGGGGATTGCCACTGTAGGTAACTTTGAAGTTTACCAGTGATGACACTGGAAGCTGTGTTTGAAGTAGTTTAGGAAGTGGCTTTTGGGTCTGACATCTTAGATCCCAGCTCTGCTCCCTACCATATGTATGATCTTGGGCTAATCATTTAATCTTTATGGAAGATTATTTGAAAACAATGTGCTGTGCCCTGAATGCTGCTGAAGACAAAATACTTTTTCCTCTTTATTTTCATTATTGGACATAATTATTATTTATTTGTTTGTTTATTTTTGCTATAATTGTCTTGTGTTATGGTGCTTTTAACATTGGATTTAGTGACCAGCTTCCTAGTACAGAGGCAACAATTGCCTCCAAGTCACTTTTCTCCAACTTAAACACATGTTCTGCCCACCTGGCTACTTGATCTTCTCCACCCCTCTCTCTTACACAGTTAATAATTCTGCAATAGAATATGAATTCTCTGGTTTTACTGGAATTCCAAATATTCTAATTGTATCCACATTCAACCCAAGTAGATTCCCTTATAATAGCTCAAGTATTAATTGCCCAGTGAACCAAATCACAAGTCAATTTTTGTTGTTGTCATATACTTGCTGATAAGTGGAGAATGAATTTTCTTACCCAGCCACATCAGTGGTAGAGTGTCTGAGGGACTTGTACATTACTGCTTTTCAAAATTGCCTAGCATCCCCTTCACCCCCAAAGGAAACTTGCCCAACTTTTATTCTCCCACAACAAGCATATGGGAGTCAGCAAATGGAGAACTGAAAAGCCAGACATTAGACAACTCGCCTGTAATCACACTGTGATCTTCAGCAGCATTCAAATGGCAAGAGGGGCCGAGGCTTGGTCTCCTGCACCCAGATGAGGGCTCTTCCTGCCATTTTCAACCCATATCTAGCTGATTGCATCTGCTCATGCATTTTAGTGGAAGGAAAAAAACAGAAAGACTAACCAAAATGGACACATCATATAGGCTGCATTGCTTCTCTTATTTATGATAACGGGTATCTCTGGCAAGATGACGTGCACTTGTAATTGTTCCTACTCAGATGATGGAAAAGATGCTCCAAAGCCAATTGCCCACATAGGGAGTGATCCATTGGCTGAAAGGGGTTATTCCAAAGCCCAGGTTATTGTGAATTACAATGTGAAGCATTATGGAAGAAGAATATTTTAAAGCAATATTCTTTTTAAACTTCTTCTAACGCCACCTCTTCAAAATAGACTCGCCCAGGCCGTGGTATTTTGTGGAAGAGCCACACTCAAGGGGCGAAAGAGCCACTTGAATACCGCTGAAGATAAAATATAGCAGCCATTTGAATGCTGCTGAAGATAAAATACTTTTTCTCCTCGTTCTTATTTTGAGTAATGTTCTTTTGATGATCTCAAGCTGGATGGCTTTTAATGATTAATGAGCAAGATGCTTAGTCTACTGCTGACCTAAGAATGCATTTTGCTTCTCAAAAAAATTCAACAGATTAGCCACAACTGGGACATGTACTCTTCAAATAATTTTCTCACAGATGTGATTAAGTAATGTCTTGGATTATGCCCAGTAGCAGCTCCATAGGAAACCAAGCTAGCCAGGAAGGAGTCATTTGAAACCAAGCGCCTAGGAGCATTGCAATGAGGCAGCCCCAATATTTGCCTTAAGAAAACCTTTCTTTAGAGGCAGACTTCAAAATGCAGCTTTGGAATCCATTTGCCTGATCATGGAGCTACTGCTCTAGAATCATTTGTAAAGGCACTCAAGCGTATATCAAATTGCTATTGCTGTTTATTTACATGTGTGGAAATGTATAACGAACAGCTTGAGAATAAAAAGTCAAACAGCTTAAGGGTCAGATGGTTCCATTTAGTTGTATAGATGAATGGCAGCAAATTTGAGAGGTCGGCTTAGCTCAAAACAATGACTAGGTCCCTGATAATTTAATAGCTGTTCTAGCTCTTGGTTGTAATGTTCCCACACAGCCTCTTTTAAAATGAGCAGCGAGGAAACCAAGAAGGGTGAGATCCCAAGATCCTAATCTCTAGCCTCAGCCTATACCAACATCTGACTCTTTAGAGATGGCACTGCTAACCATCCTCAGAATGATGGTGCCTTTCGAGGTAGATGTTAGCTGGTATAGAGACTTCCTGATACGGTGTGAAGACATCAAAAAAACACACTTCATGCAATTCAACAATGTAGGGGCTACATTTACAAATAGATTTCAGAACCTTGAATTATGAACAGCTACCATTGAGTAGATTTACATCTGGAACAGATATTGTTCTCTTTAAAAAAAAAAACACAAAACAACTTTGTATTTTAGAGAGAGGGGAAGGGAGAAGAGGATTTAGAGAAACATCAATTGGTTGCCTTCTGTATGTGCCCCAACCAGGGACTGAACCCAAAACCCAGGAATGGGACCTGACCTGGAATCAAACCGGCAACCTTTCCGTGCACAGGACAACACTCAACCAGCAGAGCCACTCCAGCCTGGCCACATATCTCACAACCACCTTCCGAGAGATCATATCATCATCCTCATTCCACAGCACAGAGTGGATGTCAACACCTTGCCCCCAGGGTCCCACGGGCTGTCACCTCCAGAGCTGGGACTGTCAGCCGGGATTTAAGCTAAAGCTCACAGATCATTAGCATACCTTTATACACAAAACCAGCAACTGGAAAACGCATTCCTTAACTACTGCTGATTCACAACCCGTAAAGTTTAATAATTGGGAGAGACTTCTAAAATCATCTAGAATTCTCTTGCAGTATCCCAGAGCATATGAGATACATGTCATCATTTTTTTTCCTCAGAATTTTATTTCCTGAAGTTCTCAGTGCAGATGAAACATTTTCAATCAGTGGAATTAAAGTTGAAAGTGAAAAATAAACTGATAACCTTTTCCTTCTTACTGAAGAATTTTAAATTGATTTAAAAAAAACTATATCTGTTCATAAACTTCTCACTTCTCTATTTGTTTGTATATTTATAAAATTTAAGTCTTGTCTTTTTCCCCACCTCACTAGTTCATGTTCACTTTTCCATGTATTTAAGCTTGGCCATTTGTTTTCCTGTATCGCCCCTCTAAGCATCAGGATAGGAAGGTAAAGTGACAGGTTTTTTTTGCTAGTAATAAAAGTGAGAAAATGTGAGGTCACTTAAACATGGCTTTGATTTTCTTCTAGCTGCTTCCGAAAATGCCTCAAAAAGTTACTGCAAAAGACTGTATTTAAATTTTAACCAAGATAAAAAATCAAGTTTCATTTCAGGGATTCCCTTTGAATTTTTATAATTAAATTTTATTATCCTTTTTTATTTCATTAAGTTCCTTTTTTCCTTCTCACCAATCTTTTTTTCTCCCTTTACACCTTTGTATAAAACATGTTATGTGGAACATCTTAAGAACTTTAGGTTCAAAGTTTTAAAACATATATATATTTTTAATTGACTTCAGAGAGGAAGAGTGAGAGGAGAGAGAGGGAGGTAGAAACATCAGTGATGAGAGAGAATCATGGATTGGCTGCCTTCTGCAGGCCACATAGGGGCTCAAGGCCACAATACGGGCATGTGCCCTGACCAGGAATTGAACCATGACCTTCTGGTTCATAGGTCAATGCTCAACCACTGAGCACCACCGGCCCGGAATTAGGTTCAAATTTGAAAGAAAAATATCTTGTTACAGTTGGAGGCCAACTATATAACTTTGTAACGTACCAGGTAATTAGTCATTAGGGAAGCAAATGAATGGATTAAAATGAATGAATGGGTTAGGAATTTTAATTACTTAACATTAATCAGCAGAAGTCTGGGAAAACTACAGACCTTTCCCAGCTCTTCCCCATCTGCCTTTTCCTCTCAACTACCTTTCTGAAAAAGAGAAGTCCACAGTAATGATGTTTAACATGGTTTGATTTATGCAAATGCAGGATATGAGCCTGGGCAGGAGTAATCAGAGAGATAGGGAGAAGTTCAGGAATCCCTGAGAGGGCTGACATCCTAGTGTGGCTGCCTGAGGCTTGGGAATCTGACCTTTCCCTGAAGAACAGTAAATGAAAGTAAGGATGGCCTGTGAATAGCAGTAGAGTGTCCAGCATTACCTAGTGCCGCAAAATTCTATAAATAGGCAAATTTTTTTTGAGGCAAAGAGACTTCTAGCACTTTGCACCTCCCTGCAGCGTAGCACCTAACTCTTCTTACTGTCATTACTTATCTACATGTCTGTCTCCCCCTAGAGTGTGAGCTCCTCGAGGGCAGGAACCCTGTTTTTATTCATCTTTGTGTCCGGTGCCAAGCACAGTGCCTGGCTTATGGTAGGTGCTCACTCAATGTTTGTTGAATGAATATAGCAGTGCTTCTTGGGTTGATCGGCTAATTTCTTATTTGTTTATTTTGTTGTGTTTTTTTGTTTGTTTTTGCCCAGTGTCGTTCATGCTTTTGATAGACTAAAGAAAAGGAAGAGCCTTCCACTCAACCTTTTGCATTTAATGTTGACTTTCACAGGAATCACCCTTCAGTCATAGTACAGCCGGGGAAGAGACCTTTACCTGTGGAATCTCCAGACACCCAAAGGAAGCGAAGGATACACAGATGTGATTATGAAGGATGCAACAAAGTGTACACTAAAAGCTCTCACTTGAAAGCACACAGAAGAACACATACAGGTATCAGAAATATAAGACTCACTTTCTTCTTAAGAATTAGAATAAAATGTTAAGTTAAACGTTCTGACTTTCAGAGGTTATTCTAATGAATTTTTTTTTCAGGCATCTAAAAGTTGCCAGTCATTTACAGATGTCTCTGTCATGATACATGAAGTTTTTTTTGTAATGGTTTACTTTTGTTATACGTAGACTAGATTCAAGGCTATTACTGTAGGAAGGTCAATCACTTGTGCACTCTGCAGTGAAAGAGAGAGAAAGGGATGGATCCTCGGGTGGAACAGAAGGGAGAGTGCTCTTAACCATGGGCCTACTTCGCCAGGGTGTGGTCTTTTGGACTCTTCTATGGCAAATGTACGTCAAGTTCACCATAGTGAAAATCAGCTCTTTACACAGAACAAATAAATGTAGCAGTTTATAGAAGTTGAATTTGGTAAAACCGGGGGAACTTTTATGGGATTGCCTGCCATATTTGTTCTAGAATACTTTCCATCTTGCCCAGTCGCAAATATAGAGTGTGTAGCCAGATCTTATGAAAATTGTTGTATGGGTGAAGAAGATGGGCTCTTCAACATTTTGCAGCAAACTATCTTAAATTGTATAAAAATGTTATGAACCGATTAATTGCGGTGCGTATTAGTGATTAATGTTTACTGTAGGTCACAGCTGACCCACCGCCAGACTCTTCAGTATGAAATTCTAGTGTGATAGGGATTTGTATAGTGTGTATACAGTGTTCTTAACTCAGAATGTAGTTGTTTTGGGTTTTGTTTTGTTTTTATTCTATGAGTCATTCTTATGAGAAATATTTAAACAGAAGACTGTGGGATTTGGAAAAGGGCAGGAAAGTGTCTGGCACAGTGGAAGTGAGTTTTTCATTGAATTCTGGGAGGGAGTAAGCCAGGAAAAATCAGCCTAACTACAGTTTGCATTTAGAGGAACACCCAATCACCCAAACCTAATCAACCCAAATTGATTCATATAAAAGCATCTCCAGGACATTAATGGGACAACTCAGAGGTGGATGCTACCAAATTCCAGCCTAATATTAAAAAGACCAAATTGAATATTGCATAACAATTGAGATGTAGGCAAAGTACATACATCTTAGCATTTATATTCTGTGCTGCAAAGCAAAGAATACAAATTCTGAATATCTCATTGAAATGCCAAGGAATGGCAGTGTATAAGGTATCTAGAGAACAAGGTTGGGAATTAGTGATGTCCATTACCTATTTTTTACTCACTTACACATGGAAGATAGCCATTAACAGCCCTTTTATTTGTGAGGGTCTTCCTAATGGCTCTCCCTAGGATATTCCCACAAGAGTCTTCTGTCCTCACCATTACCCCACAGGAGGGGTATTGGAGAGGCCTGGCTGTAACAGGGTGGGGACGCATTATTATAGTGTCAGTACTTCTGAATTAAAGCATTATACTTAGGCATAGTTATTATCCATTAAACAAAAGATGTTGAAATCCCCAACAGATATTTCAGTTGATAGAGACTTCAGATTTTTTTTTTTTTAAAGAATTAATTTTTTCTTACTTGTCTTGTAGTTGTTTATAAGATACTAGAGGCTGGGTGCATGGATTCTTTCATTAGTTGGGTCCCTCGGCCTGGCCTGTGGGGATCGGGCTGAAACCAGCTCTCCGACATCCCCTGAGGGGCCCTGGATTGTGAGAGGGCAGTTCTCTGGTATGCACCCTGGAACTGAGCTCCCTCCTCTCTGGCCCTGGGTGTATCACCTGAGAAATGCAGCTGACAAGTCATCATAGCTCAGCAGCTCCTGTGTTATGAGTCTGCCCCCTGGTGGTCAGTGTGTATCATAGCTACTGGTTGGACAGTCGGACAGTTGCTTAGGCTTTTATATATATATAATTGTTATTGAGGGACAAATGGATAGATGTACCTTGGAAATAATATATGTCAAGAGCTTTTACTCATTTTAATTTTACTGCCTTTACTAATTAATAGCCTTTTTCTATCAGAAAAAAAAAAATAATAAGCTCTTTTCACTTTCTCTTTGTAGGAGAAAAACCCTACAAATGCACATGGGAAGGATGCACATGGAAATTTGCTCGGTCTGATGAACTCACAAGACATTTCCGAAAACACACTGGGATCAAACCTTTCCAGTGTCCGGACTGTGACCGCAGCTTCTCCCGTTCTGACCACCTTGCCCTCCATAGGAAACGCCACATGCTCGTTTGAATGTCTCCGTCTCTGCCTAGGCACACGGCTCCCCACCCGCCCAGCTCTCTCTGTCCTTCCTCCCGTTGTCTAACTCATTTTTTACATGTACATTTTAATTTTGATTCAGCTGGTCTGAATCTCTGAATTTATATCAGTCAAACTTCCATATGGTCAGTAGTAAATATTCTCTAATCCTCCCTCCTTACCACGGGTCAGACCTAAAGAATGTGAACACTTTTTTTTTTTTTTTTTTCCGGGGATGCTAAGCAAACCCTTCTTACAGATAAGTTTAATGTAATGAGAACAAGGGAACATGTAAACTAACAGAACCCGTTGTCGGTTTGTCCATGTATTCCTCAAAAGAATGTCAAAAGTAAATGTATTAGAAATACAGTATCCAGCCTTGCTAGTCCTTGCCAGAGACATTCATACCCCTGAGCCTGTGACTGCATTCTGTGCTGCCCAGAGGGAAGACGGTGGACCCCTTCCCAGGTCAGCTAGAAGGGCAGCAAGATTCCAGGCGAGTGCAGTCAGTGCTTCCATTATCCTTCACCAATCTTGCTTGTCAACTTGGATTTATCACTTCATCGACATTAAGTCCTTTAACCTCCTTTGTGCCTGCAGCTAATAAGGAGGACTTTGCCACCAGTGGAAGAGAAGCTAGAGTTGTTGACGTAGGGAGGGGGTCTCTGTCAGTTCAAGGGATGGATGCTGTATTTGCATCGCACGGAGTTGGAGCAAGGGCGCAAAGGAGGAAGCCAGCCAGGGGTTTTTAGTGAGGTTTCATCAGTTGGTGATCTGTGCAGTGCATTCCTAGAACTTCAGTTTCTGCACATTCAGCTCTGCAGAACCGTCCAGCGAAGCCAAATACTGATGGGGTTACCCATGCACTGATCTCCTGGCCTATAATGTCCTTATTGTAGATCATCAAGCATTGAGAGTAGGGACGCCACAAAAATACTTGACCCATAATGGGGAAGAGTCTTTTGGATTGGGGTCTGAATGGCTCCTTTACCCAATCCACGGAGAGCCTTTCTGCAAACAGGGCAACGTTGAGCGGTAATTCTATTCCCAAATCAAATTACTCCTATAGCTTTCGTACAGAAAGTGTGAGTAACAAGGTGCCAAATTGGCTGTCATTGGTGTTCATGACGCACATCCCAGGTAAGCATCTGCTAAGTAGATTCATTAAGACCTGAGTGACGCTCTTTGTAAATAGTTGTGAAGCACACAGACCTTTATTGGGGGAGGGGGGGGGGGGGGTGTTTGGACAGATTCCTAAAAAAATAGAAAATCACAGTTCAGGGATTCATCTACGTAGCTCAATAATTCCCAAAGTTTACTGTTGGAGCTGGCACTCTCACTGTCAAGTATCCTGTCAGAAGAACAAACTGAAATGACTCGTGTTCATGTTCAAGACAAACAGCACCATTACTTGGACACTTCTCAAAAGTAGGCTTTTGAGCATCATAGTCTAAATGCCAATAAAAATAATTCGTGTAGAAATGCCTTGGTTCTGAATTGGGAAGGCAGTGGCAACGGTGGTCAAAAGTGGGCACGTGTGACCAAATGCCCCTTCATAAAGGACGGGGAAGAGAAGAATGGAGTCCTGAAGATTTCGTCCGAGCCACTACTCAGGATCCAACACAACTTTAGCTGGGAGGAGTACACTTTTCAAAGCATCGGTGAAGAATGATTCTGGAGGCCTGCGAATTGTGTGGGGAGCTTACTTTGGCGCTATGTTAATGAAAGTAGTTGTAAGGACTGCACACCTAGAGGTCCCACTCAACAGCTCTCTGAACCATCTGAAAGGAAATGTACAGAAATGCAAAATAATTTGTTATCTGGCACTTGGTTTTTACTTTTTTTTTAAGCACTGCAAAATTCGTTTAGAATATTAAAACATCCTAAATTGGGCTTTTTCTTTGTTGTTGTGTGTGTGGTTGCAACTAAGATATGAATTGAGGGATAAAAGAAAAAATAGCTCTTGGGAAAGTAGGTATTGTCTGTATTGTAAATACTTAGTCACATTCATGCCAAAGTGCTTATTTCTTGAAATGGTTCTTCCACAACACACCGAAGAATTTAAGTTTGAATGCAAGGGGCTTTTTGTTTTGTTTTGACGGAGAAAACCAGTTTATGTATATTCTAACCACAGAAGGTGGGAAGGGGGAATGAGAAAGGGTAGACTTGATCTTTCTATAATGAGCTTTGAATCTGAGTCTAATTAATAGAAAGCTTCATGAGTTCTCATGAAATGTAATGTTTGCTATGGCATATCAAAATTCTGTTCAGAAGTATAAGCAAAACCCTGCAGAGACTATTATATTATACTTAGCTTGCTTAGATTATGTTAACAGTTCATTAACAAAATACCATTTTTACTGAAAGAACCATCCAGAGAAGCCATCATTCTCTGTTCCCTTGCTGGTCTACTACATACTTTAGTTACCAATTGGCTCTACAAATTTTCCTTTTATATATATATATTTGTATCTTACTATCATAGTTGGGAAATTTAGTCTCTTAGTCATTTTTAGCTGTTATTGCGGGAGACCTCACATAAGATGCCCTTGAGTGTGGTTTTAATGATGTGCCACGTTACTATCAAGGGTGATTTTAATTGCAACATTCAAGTTGATGAGAATGATTTGTAAGCATGGAGCTAGTGTATAAATTGTCATAGAATTTACTGAGTTATCCAAGTGTCAGAAAAATTAAACCTGAATCCATCATATATTAGTTTTAAAATGTGAATCGGCATCGTAAATGGGCATTAAACATTCTGAAGCGCCTTGTTTGGTGAATGTGAGCAGCTTAGCGTTGTTCAGCTAAGGAAATGCTAAACATGCAGAAGCTTGAGAGCCTTGGAACAGATTTACAGGGAACTACATATGTACATGTATATTTCATTATTAAACACCCACCTGCACTATCAGTGTTGCACTAATGTGGAATTTGAAAGACTATATTGCTGATACTGTATATCTGCACATCATTCCTGGTTAGATTGTTTTAAAGACAATCTCAAAGGTCTAAAGTTTTAAAATAAATCCATTGGTTTGAAAATATTGTCATCTTGAAGGAATCACTGTCATACGTGAAGTTGCTCAGAGCGGTATTTATTCTCTTCTTGGTCAAGGTTAACAATTGCTAAATGATTGCAAATCCACTTATGAAATAATACATTTACAAAGCCATTTTCCATGCATTAAACGAGGGCTACAATATTAAGTTTTACAAATACTAGCACTTTTTTTTTTTTTTTTTTTGCTGATATGTACTTAGTGATAGAGGGTCAAAATAATCTTTCTGCTTAGCATCTCTTAAACCATACCTGCAAGTATAGCAGGATTATTACATTTACAGTACTTTAATACTTGTATAAACTATGCAGAAATTTTTAATAAAGTGTAATATATTTTATAAGCTAATAAGACTGAATGGGTAAAGGTTTTTAGCATGCATTAGTAAACTTGCAAATACTGAAAACATTTTGGTAACCTTTCTTACTAAAGATGTGAATGTTTAATGTACCTTCTCTGTTTCTACTCTGTAGTCCAATGGGAATTCAGTAATGACATTTTGTCATGTCAAACTGTGAACATAAATTTGTACTGTACAGTCCTCATATACTATATACAGTATGCAATATATGTATTATATACTTGTTAATAAAACCATCAGAATATTAAGTGTGATCATGTGATTACTACAGATGCAATGATCACAAGGAACAAAACTTAGCAATGTAACATGTGAGAGACTCTGCTCAGAAGTTTCCAAGCAAATCACTCTGATAGGCAATTATTGTTAATGGAGGGAAAGAAAAACAGATCTAACTGGAAGATGCACTAAAAAAAAAAAAAAATTACCTCAGCCCTAAAGCATTGCCCCTGGTTTTCTGATTATGGCCAACAGGAAATCTAAGCACAAACCATAAACCAGCAGACAACCCGGCATAAATCTACAAACTCATCTAATGCATTCTTAGAATGGTCAGTTATTTATGACCCTTGCCTGCTTCCAAAAAAATGTCAGTTCCTTGTATTAAGAGGCATGTGTTAAATACTTTGCTTTTTAAGTAAGATGAAAGATAAAGGATTCATAACTTGGGGAGTCAGGCAGGAGATGGTAAGTGCATTAAAGTGAATAACTCTGGATAAACATGGTTAGTAAGCCATGTCCATGGACACTGCTTTGTCTGCAGCATCACAGGAACAATTTGTTTCTAATGAGGATTTAGAGTTATTTTGTTAAAAGCAAAATGTAATTACCTTCCCTGTACCCCGCCCCCTCCCCGCCACATATACACACACACACACACCCTAAACATAACTGTAACTGAGATATTGGCTTGTTCTATCTCAAGCAGCTTCCTCCAGGACAAAGTTCATCTTAGTAAAACACAAGATAATGTCTGGCTGCCACGTATCATGTGACTCGCTGTCACAGGCTGGGGCTTAGAAGGAGGTTGGGAGAAGGTTGAATTCAGCCTTTTCCAGAAAACTTTTTATACTGAGATACATGACTTCAAGCTCAAAAAGGTGTTGTATGTAACATGTCCTAACGAAATATTGGTTTGGATTAGTCTAGATCAGTGGTCGACAAACCGCGGCTCGAGAGCCACATGTGCTTTTTGGCCCCTTGAGTATGGCTCTTCCACAAATTACCACGTACAGTGTGATTGAAACTTCATGGCCCATGCACAAAAGTCGGTTTTCAGTTCTCAAAAAAATGTTTAATCATTGTACTGTTGATATTTGGCTCTGTTGACTAATGAGTTTGCCGCCCACTGGCCTAGGTGGTTGGCTGTAATGTTTACATTATACTTCCCATATGGATAGGTGACCCTTGCTAAGTTCAAAATGAGACCAATTTAGGAGATTGTATGTTAAAGTTGGATTCTGTCCAGGTGAGTGATGAGAATGTGACAAGTATAGATTTTATGAGAAACTACTGAGTGGTTGAACAAAGTAAGGATGTTCAATGCATGCACACACACACACACACACACACACACACACACATTCATAACCATTGCCCAATATTTTAAATGCTGTTGGATTTAAGAAGAAGGGATTGGGAATCTTGCTGGGGCAAGCTATCAGTTCTAGTGTGCATTAAAGAAAGGAAGTGGCTCTGTTCAGATGGTAGTAAAAATATATAGATGTATAAGTTAAGCTATTTAAGACTAGATTGGTGCACGAGCACATACAAAACTTAGCAATGAACTGCCCTTGAAGGGTACGTTCATTTTGATATGTAAATTGAGCCTGTTACCATTTCCTGTTATTTGAGGTGGTCACAGTCATGATAGCTAGTAATGGTGCAGTATATATACAGAGTTATAAATATTTCTCTCTTTTCTGCATCCAGTGTGGCTAGAGAGTGGTTCGTTCGATTCCTGGGTAAGGGCTGCTGGGGATTGAGAAAATGAAAGAGACAGACACAGAAATAGAAGGAAAAAGCTGGGGTGGGGTGGAATAGCTGTCCTCAGATGGAGAGACAGTGACCCAGAGCTGATACATACCAGGAAGTTTTACAAAAGCCCAAGACAAAGGAGATTATATGCATTCTTGTGCCTTCTTTGTAATCAGTCACTTCAGGATGGGTCCGAATAATCATATTTGTTCCTGGTGCTTGGCTGGATTTAGATAATGAAACCCACCCCCTAGCGCCTGAGCTGAAGGTCAGGCTGACAACACATCTGCCTAGGGCAAGGTATGTTTCCAGGGCATGGCTCTGCTGGGCACCACTGGATTTAGATGATTATCAGCTCAGGGGCCTTTCCCAGGCACTCTCTGCATAGAATGACTCCCGAGTTAGTATGACACATATTGTAAATTAGAATTTTTTTAAAAACTTATTACTTAATAGGGGTATGGGAGTGCAGTTCTCACCAAGTTCAGGTAGACATGTTTATTGCTTTGAATGCTTCTGTTCATTACGTCCCTAGTTTTTCATTTCCCATGAGCATCCTGAATGATATGGGTTAAGGAAAGAAGACAGAAGCTGGATATTCAAGCTCTTAGACCATATCTCTTCGCATTGAATGCATTTGATGTTTCTTCCTTCTCTCAAGACTTAGTGTATTTGCATTCTCCAGAGACACAGAACCAGTATTCACCTACCCCAGCTCAGGCCTCTGGGACTGTCACAGAAGTCCCTCACTGTCTTACTTCAATCCTCTGCAGCAGTAGCCAAGCCATCCTTCCAAAACAAAGATCTGATCATGTTGCTGCTCCACCTTTTAAAAGCCTTCCATGGACTCACTAGCACCTGACCTGGTTCTTCTTCATTCAGCCCTGCCTCATACCAAAGCCTTATCTATTATTATTAATTGAGCATGTACTGTATGTTCAGCACTATTCTAAGCACTTGAGGGTATTAATTAGTTTAATTCTCAATCCTGTAAGGCATGTAACTATTATCATTCTCTTTATGCAGATGGAAATTGAGGCACAAATGGAAAACGTGCCCAACTGGATGAAAAGGGGCCACATATTAACCTGACAAGCTCAGGGGAGGCCTGTGTGGTGGCCTTGCTAACTCAGAGACCTAAAATAACCACATAAGATGGTCTGAAATTACAACTTTTTAACTAAAAGCAGATTATGGTGGATAATCATGTGCTAGGCTAGAATCCTTCTTGACAAAAGTCAATCTTTACCTTAATTGAGCCTGTCTATTGTCTTTTTGCTCCTACTATAACAGAATGTCAAAGAAATCTCCCTTTTTCTAGACCCCTCAAAGTCCAGGTATCTCACCAGCAAAAACCACAAACCCCCTCATTGTTATTGCTATCATGTTAACTGTTGACACTTAACTATCCTGTACCCATCTGTAAGAGATGGATGTGCCTACCCCTTTTGCTCTTTACTCAATCTCAGAAATCCCTAGCTTTGCTTTCTCCTGCCTCT